ATCCACCTTCTTAATGGAAATTCCCATTTGTTTCTAATTCTAAAAAACCCCTGAATAATCTTACTACTGAAATTTTTGTATTGTATGAGAAATTGAATGAATTAAGTTAAGAAGTTTAGTAGGAGAATATAGTATATTGAGCATGGAATAGTTAGTCCATATGTTTACTTCATAATGGTAATGCATATAGCTTATTTAGTTGTCTTATGAAAATTTATGAAATGTTAAAGAATGAATTCCATGAGTCTCTTGAGGTATAAACCAGATCAGAGGAATGGAATTCTTATGGAAACCATGAGTCCTTTGAGGTGACGACCAAGAACAAGGTAATGGTTTAAATGAATCCGATCGGATAACAAGACTATGAAACCATCAAGTATAAAGACAAAAGAAATAAGCATGCCGTGTACATGAATATTTCATAAGTCATATATGTTCTATGTTATATTATGTATGTTATGTTATGACTTATGTTCATGAGAAAGTCCAAAATGTATGATAGTTTTTATGAACTTGTTATGTCAAAGAATGAAGGTCATGTTTTGTAGGTAGTAAAGTCCTAAGTAATTTACTTGTATAATGAACCTTAATATTTATAAATGGCCATATTCCTTACTGAGCGATTAGCGCTCACCCCACGAAATGTTTTAAATGTTTTGCAGGTACGGATTAAGCCATGAAGCTGGAGAGGATTCCAAGGGACGCTATGAGCATGAGGGGATGCTTTAATGATGTCTATTGAATGGTTTTGCTAATATTTACTGTAGTATTATGTTCATATCTTATAATGTAGTAATTATGTCCATGTTCTATATTGGAGTAAATATGTTATATTAATAAGGAATCAAATTGCTAGTAAATTTTATAAAGTGTGTATGTTCTAGTAAGTATTACTATGGATTTGATAATTTACTCAAAAAGAAAAGAAGAAAAAAACAAAAAGGAAATTATATTTTTTGATTATACAATGAACTTATTAAAATGTAAATAAATAAATTAAAAAAATTAATTAAACACATATATCTATATATATGTTTTAAACTACAAGTTTATTCTTTAAATAGGATTTTAAAATAAACTTCTTTCCTAGGCGTGCGTTTTCTAGGTTCTCAATGGCCAAGGGATACTTAGGAAATACCCGGCTAGGGAGGGGTTTTACAATGTTTTAGCTAATTTCTCAAATGTAGGGGGGTTGGGTTAATGGTTATTTGGTAGACATTTGAGGGCAATTGTGTCTGAAATGGTATTTAATTAAGGGCAAAATAGGTATAAAAATCAAGATTACTTGGTAATGTTTTAATCCTACGGGTGGGGGAGGGTATCAGATTCCTTCCCCCCCCCCCCCCCCCCCCCCAATTTTGCAATAAAAGATTCCTGTAATATTTTATTACTTGTAAACCAAACACCGGAATCTTGTAAAATAAACAAAGATTACCCTTGTTATCTTATATGCCCCCAATCCAAACGCACCCTATATCACATCTCCTATTAATAAAAGATTACTAGAATCTTTTATTACCTGCTGGACCAAATAAGGTAATGATTGGATTAAAATATAGATTATCGGAGTAATCTTTCAAGGGCCCTAACTAAATGCAACCTAGGTTTATGTCAATTGTTACAAACGATAGGGTACTTTTTTGTTATTTCAAAAACTTTAAGGGAACTTTGTTATTTTATTAAACTTCAGGGTTCGTTATTCCCTTAATTTTAAAGTTGGAATTTGAAGAAGAAAACAAGCAGAGGTGGGAATTTGGGCCTGGGCCCAATGGGACTGCCCAAAAAATCGGACCTAGGACGATCCTTAGGAGGACTAGTCCTATAGGGCCTAAGCTCAAACCCGGACTAGGCCCAAGGAGTAGGGATCAGTGCTTAGGCTGGTCTCTCCTCCAAGGCTCGAGCATGGAATCAATCCTAGGCTTAGGCCTAAATCCCCACCCTTAATTTCCTATACACCCCTAGCAAATATCAATAACCCCCTATTTTAATAATTGACAATAAATATAAGAGCTAAACGAAAATTTTACCAAAACAAAATTATATAAGAATTGAATTTTTTTTCTTTCACTTTCCCCCAAACCTATATATAAATAACCCCTCTATCCACCCATTTTCCTCATAGCTCATAACTCTCAATATCTCATTCTCTCTACTCCAATTCTCAAACTCTCTTCAATTTATGTTTATATTTATTCATCTATTATTCATATTATTATTTATTTTATTCAATTTCTTCAATTTCTCCAATTTTTGTTATTTATTATTTTATCATAAATTCATAATGGATTCCCGAAATTATGCATTCGGAGGATCATCCCCAAATGAGTATTATGTTCCATCCATCGAAGAAATGGAAGGGTTCGATCCATTTTAACCCTTTCCAGAGACATCAATTCCACAACCACAGACAACAATTCGACAACTAGAGACATCCGCAACTTCGTCTAGCCAAACACAAGCGAGCTGCGACACCACGACAAGACCGTCAAAGAGGGTCATGTCCGGGTATGACAATACTTCACCAAATCAAAACGGGCAAAGCTAAATGGGGAGGGGGAAGAAACATGCGGGGTATGTAATTTTTGTCCAACCATTATCGGTGCTGAGCACAGGACTTCGACGATGCAGCGACACTTGGGGAAGAAGCAACCCCAATATATGTAGTCCGGACCATCTGGTTCAACTTCAATCGGACCCGATAAACAAATTCAAACTCAACTTTATTTTAATCCACAATCATCAGCTCTCTCAACTTGGCAATACAATGCACTCAAAGTACGAGAGGCAATAGCAAGATACATAGTTGCTACGGACTCTCCTATTTCTTTATCTGAAAATCTTTATTTTGTTGAAATGATTAAAGATGTTTTTTGTCCAGCATATAACCCTGTTAGTAGAGGTACAAGTAGAAGGGACATACAAAAACTTTATAATAAAAAAAAAAAAGATCAACTTAAAATAGAATTTGAAAATTTTAGGAATATATCTATTGCACTTACTTTAGACATATGGACTACTAGATCAAAAATAGATTTTTTTAGTGTCACGATACATTACCTAGATCATAGTTGGCGTTTACAACAAAAATTGATAGGTTTTAAACCATTATATATTAAACATAGTGCTGAGACTATTTATTTAACAATTATTGAAGTTTTGTAAGGTTATTTATTAACTGAGAGAGTTGTGGCGCTAATACCTGATAATGCAGGTAATAACACTACGACAATTTCTTTATTTGAAAAGAGATTGGATCCGCATGGTGATGGCAAATTTTTTCACCAGAAATGTGCTTGCCACATTATCAATTTGATTGTTAAAGCAGATTTAGAAGCTATACATTCGAGGATTGAAAGGGTGCGCGCAGCTATCAGATTCATCGCCGGTAGCAATACAAGATGGAATGAGTACATAAAATATTGTCACCAAGAGGAGCCGCCAGTTCGACCAAAGAAGTTATGTACGGACATGCATGTCCGTTGGAGCTCCACGTAGTTGATGTTGCAAAGAGCTATGTCAACGCAACACAAATTACAAAGTTCGTCAATCGGAAGAATTATCTGGATGAAGTTGTCAACAATGATGATTGGACGGTTTGCAATGTTTTTCATTCATTTCTTAAAGTTTTTTTCCAATTCCACTAATACATTAAGTGGTATTTGTTATCCTACTACTAATGTCACGTCAGATATTTTACTTCAAATTTCTAAAACTTTTGTTAAACATAGATATAATGAAGATTTAAGCGACCTTGTTTCACAAATGGAAACAAAATACCAGAAATATTGGTTAGATATTTCATTCTTACATAGATTAGGTCTTATTATAGATCCTAGGTTTAAATTAAACGTATTTAAATGTATGGTTATTGAGATAAGCCATCATTTAGAACATGACTATAGTTCTTATTTGATAGATTTTAACAGAAAATTGGAAAGTTTTTTTTTTATTATTATATCAGACTAGGTACAATGTGAACGCCCAGCAAAGACAACCAACATGACCCTGATGAAGACATTTATCAACAAGAATCAAGCATGTGGACATATATGGAACTCAGTAGTGATGGTGGTGGAAGTAGTAGCTCCAGCTCGTACAGACATGGACCAAATGAGCTGCATCGGTACCTACAAATGGACATGTCCTACATGACCAAGAAGGAGAAACGTGAGATATATCTGCTTCAATGGCGAAACCAAAATAAAAGTCGATTCCTCATTGTAGCACAAATGGCACATGATATTTTATCTGTGGCAGTTTCGACAATTGCATTTGAGTCAACATTCTCAATTAGTGGCTGCACTTTTTAAAACAAAAAATGCTCTTTAACCAATGAGATAGTTGAAGTCATAACATATTTACGGGATTAGACTCATGCAGACATAAGATTACAACAGCACTCTAAAGATCCTGAACTACTCAACCTCTTCAGAAACACATATTTGGACGATGTAAATATTGACTATGTAAATTAATTTAGTAAAAACAAATTTATTTAATTGATTATTTGTGAAGTGTGATTGTTTGAATATTATATTTATGTTAAAATTAAATTATCTCTTTAATGTTTAATTAAAAACACCATAAATTTATAACCAATTAACTATTCATTTTATTTATTTACTAATTAATTAAAAAATTCACAAATCACCGCCTATATAATATTTGATTTGGCCCCTAAATATATAAAAAAATAAGGGGTCAACATAAGTTTCTGGGCCTATAAGACCGGGATCGATCCTATGGGCTTAAGACGAGTCTAGGCCCTGATATTTCTCATGGGCCTAGTACTGGTCCCAACTAAATAGGGACCAGTCCCATTGGGCCCAGTCCCGACTGGGACTGGGCCTTGCCCAGCTCTAAACACGAGGGTAACTTCATCAATTTCTAAAATTGAGGGGAAAACAAAAGCATAGAAAAGGGTAAAAATGTTATTCGCCCGTATTTTGTAAGCCCAGTCTTAGCCACGGGTTCGAACCCTTGAAACGGCACGGTTAGTCTCAACTCCTTTTTTAAACCGTGGTGTAAAACTATAAACTCCGCTATTAAACCCTCAAAAAGCCCGCCATTTGCCCTCATTTTCAATCGCCAATCACTACTGGTAACCTTCATATTAGATGTTTTCATTGTGGTCCTCTTGCTCGGCATTGCACCGCCGTTCCAGTTTCTAGGGTTTTTACTGCGTTCCCAAAGATTTTTGTGTTTATTTGTTGAATTTCGGTAATGGAAACCGATGAGGCCCAGCGTGTGCTGCCGTTTCAGCTACAATTCGACAAACCAGTCGCCTCTCAGGTTTTTATTTTTTATTTTTATTTGTATACATTTTCAATTAACTTCTTTATGCGTTTTCTTATTTATTTAGTTTTCTCAATTGATAGATCAAAATGGCGGAATGGAATCCGGAGAAGGATTTATTAGCCATGGTTACGGAAGAATCGAAGATTTTGCTGCACCGATTCAATTGGCAAAGGTTGTGGACCATTTCGCCAGGTGAATTATTAGTATTATTGTTACTATTTTTTCTCGTCCGTATAGCTTATTTTATTTTTGTGTTTATTAAGCGCAATTATCTGAATTTTCAAAAGTTAACATCTGTCATTTTTATTTTAGGAAAGTCCATTACGTCCCTGTGTTGGCGTCCTGATGGCAAAGCAATAGCCGTTGGGCTAGAAGACGGAACCGTTTCCTTGCATGATGTTGAAGTGAGTACCATATTCTCTAGCTAAATATGATTATATGACTAAGTAAACCGATTCACTTGACTCAAATAATGTATGTTTGGTTAAGGCATTGATTGACACGTGATGCTCCTACTTTATTAAGGTTTTCATATCTTGAATAGGTAACAATCTCTTGATTCTTTTGCTTGAAATGAAAAAATAAAAAATAAAAATTAAGACATTTCTTGTTAGCCATTCATTGTTTCTTGACTTACTAAGATGGCATTATACGTACTTACTTCCCCGCAACCAGATGCTTTACAATGGACATGATTCATCTTGTTTTATTGTTAAAATCTAATAGAAGAATTGGGAGTTTGCCATTTTATGCTATGATGCTTTGGTCTTCTGCATTAAAGTTAGCTCTCAACTAGGGGAGTATTATTTTTCATATATTATGTAATCATTATCTTGCTGTGTCTTATTATTTCATTCTGATTTCTTATGCAATAGTTGATTTATCATTTTACATTCTTTCTACTTCTTAAATCTCGTGTATGTTATGTTAAGCAGAATGGAAAATTGCTGAGAAGCTTAAAATCCCATACCGTTGCTGTTGTATGTCTTAACTGGGAGGAGGATGGACAACTCACTAAGGTTTTAGTTAATCTTATCTTTTTATTTTAGCCAGTATGTCCCCTTAAGAGTTGTATGCTTATTCTTGTTTCCTTTTCCTTCTTGAATTGGGTTCTCAGAATAATTCTGCTGACATCTCAACATATGATGACCGTACTTCTCGTTTCTTCCCTCCTGCTCCAAGAATTCCTCGAATGCCTGGACTGGTGTCTGGAACTGGCTTCATGGATGATAATGAAGATTCATTTTTTGAGCTATCAAATTCTTCACATCAACGTTTTAATATTCTATGTAGTGGAGACAAAGATGGAAGCATATGCTTTAATATCTTCGGGATATTTCCAATAGGGAAAATAGTAAGTTATATCCCAATGAAAATGTGATCTATACATGCTGATATTATTAGATCCCTTTTTTTTGTTTTCCTTTTAACCAAGTTTTTTTTCTTCTTCTCTTGTTTTCTGTTTTACGATGTGCCAGAATATACATGAGTTTTATGTTCCTACTCCCCTTGTGGATAAACAAGCTACATACCAACTTATGAATGCTTCCATTTTCAAGGTATGCTTATCACTGATGTGGATAGCCTTTGAGGAAGTATAGAATGTATGTTATAGGTTGGTGTTGCTGAAAATTGGAATCTTTAGTTATCTATATTGCATAATTTGAGTAAATTCATTTAATACTAAAGCAAATTGTTTTTAGATAATTTAAGGCATTTCTTATAAATGACTTTGGTCAGGTTTGGCGATGAGAAGAAAAGCTGGTACTAACTAACACCACAGTACTAGAATCTGTAACAAGAGTACTTTGGTCCAAGAGTTTGCCATGGTCTTCTTGTTTCAAAGGTTCAGCTGTGGACTAATGAAAAGTTTATATTGAGAGAATTATTTTTCTGTTTTTGTGTTTATTCCAAGAAAAACACCATTTTACATATTTCAGTTGCCACAGGTCAATAGCAGACTGTAATGGTGCTAGCTGATGTTGTTTAATTATTGCTGTCATTAGGTTGCTTTGTCAAAAGACCTTTGTCGCTTGATAGTCATGTGCTCAGGACAACTTAATCAAGATGAGGATAAATTGGGTGAGAAACAAATAGGTGGACATGATATGCATGGCTTACATAGCTTAGTTCTGAATTCTTCCATATTCTCAAAGAGGTAACTTTGCTGGAGAAACTAGGATTATATCTATGAATTATGTTGTTTGACTACTTCTAAGTATTAAATTGTAGTGTTAAAATTATATTTGTTTTGAGTTTCTCCTCATTAAAGTTCTCTGCTGCATCTTCTTTCTCACTTAGAAATTGCTGCTTTAGATGAAAGACTAGACTGAAAGACTTTATGGTGTTTTAAAATTACTTTAACTTGATATAGACATGTTAACTAATGCATTTTTCTCGTATTTGAAGGAAAAATGAGCTCCATCAGATGGCCCAGCAAGCTTCTAACATTGAGGATTTAATGGAGGTTATCAGGGCTTCACTAACAATTATGTGTAAGCAGTGGTCAGATGCCATGCACAATTTTCACGAGAAGTTTGATTCTCTCCCTACTTTGATTGTTGACAATGGTAACTTCTGATTGCAAACACATTATAGTTATGATATTTCCCTCGTTCTTTTTCTTTTTAAATATTTGATTTTAAGTTTGGGTCTTTCCTTTCATTCAATTCTACCTTTTACATATAGGTCTGGACTCTTCTCCCCAGGAGGAGTTTTTAAGCCTTTTAGGTGGTGCTCGTACTAGTCCAGCAATTCACCAGTTTCTAGTTAACTCTCTTGGTGAAGCGGTATGCTTGGAATCTTGAGGATTTTTTTTTTTTTTTCTTCCAATGAAAGCCTATTGTGATTATACATTATTGAATTTATTGGCTAACAGGCTGTCAAGCGTGTGTCAAAGGCTGTTTGTGGTGCTGGGAAAGAACTTCAGCTTATTGTCCTTGATCATCTTCAGGTGCACTATTTTCTGTCTTCTGCTAATGTGATTCCCATTTGGGAACCATTAATAAACTTAGTACTAAGTGCGAATCATCTTATTTAATTGAGTGGATTGTAAAATATGTGCAAAACATCTTATTTCAAGGAGTAGATTGTAATGGATTTTCAATTTGTGTTTGTAACTGAGAGCTGAGGGTGACTGTATCTCAGTCTTCTATGACTGGGGTTGCCAGTAAACATGTTTAATTATATAGACCCATACACACAATCATCTAAACACACACACACACACACACACACACACACATGGTCATGCAAGGAATATGTTGGAGTTATACTCATTATTTTTAATCAAAATTGGTCTTTTTTATTGCATTTTCGTTGCAAGCTGTTGCAGTTTCTGTGTGCCTGATGTAGTTTGTTTTGTGTTCCTTATATCAAGGGCTTGAGTGGAAACTAAAAGATAAATGTCCATTTCCCAGCCTGCTGCAGAAATTATTGGATTCAGGATGGGAGAACTAAGAGGCCTTTCAAGATGGCGTGTACGGTATCAGGGTATTGGGTTGGATGAGACGCTAATTAACCATGCATCTGAGAAGTCTGGTATGTTTCTAGTACAAGTTGAGCGGTTTATGAGGGTGCTTTCATCTGTGGTGCAGCAGGTATTCTGAATTGAGGATTGAATTCTTATTTGTATTAGCTTTTTGTATGTATGCTTGCATTTGCACATGTCATGTTTCTATGTGACAGAATTTTGACTAAACTAGTGAATGAACAATTTTTAGCATTCATCATTCTTCTTTTAAAGGTCTACCATATCAAGTGTTGCCATCCTATATGCCTAATTTGTCAGTTTAGACATTTTTTAATTAGTACATTGATGATGATGTATAACGCATATACATTATGTCTTGTGGCTCATAAATGTAAGTTTAGAGATGTTCATGTGGTCATTCTTTCCAAAATCTTGTAAAACTTAAAAATTCTTTCTTTACTTTAGGCTTCAGTTGCTATAGAGTGCAAGATTATACTTGTTTCTTTATTCATCTTAATTGGGAAGGAGTTTTGGGTTAATCTTGTATAGTTTAGGGTATACTTAGTGCAGGGGAGGATGATTACTCACTGCAAATTTGTTTCCTCTCTCTTGGTTTTTTGATATGTGGACACCTGGTTCAGGGGTGTATCTCCTTATATTGGACTAATTCAGTACAAGGTTTATTAGTTTTATGAAAAAAAATCCATGGTCAACTTCTTCTCAAATAAATAATGTAATTTTTGAAGTTTAAATACCATTGTTAATTTTTATTTTTTATTTTCAGTTTGAATTTGGGAGATTACTTTCTACTAAAGATGGTATTCAAGCCCCTTTTTTTGCATGTTGTAATTCAATTAATTTACTTATAATAAAAAGCTTCGTGTCAAAAAACAGAAGTATAAGATATAGCAGGTTGGGCTTGTTTGGATATTACATGACTTTTCCATTGTCACTAATTTGGTCATGCATGTAATGGTTTTATTAGAATTTAACTTGTATTGTTGGGAATTTTCCTATTAGTTTAAACTTTTGGGATAGATGACAACTCAATATTGATTTTAATCCTAGTCACTGAGATGCATTTGATGGATGGATAATTGAAAACAACAGATTGTTTTGAAATAGTGGATCTACCCATTGTATTTGTATTATTTGTGTTGAAATTCTAAAATTTGTTTTTTCTTTCAGTTTTCGAATTTCTTCAACTGGCTTTTAAAATGCATAAAGCTATTTATGCAAGAACCAAGCGATCAACTTCCAAGATACAATAGGTTTGTCTTTCAGATGTTCTTTATTTTCCAACTGGTAGTTGGCATTTATTCTATGTTTACTCTTTCTTTTGGCAGCGAGCTCGTTGTTGTATTCTTGAAGTTTTTATATGATCAGGATCCTGTTAGGCAGTTGCTGGAGCCCTCTGAAGTTGATCATGATGTAGAAGTTGATCTGTGAGTATTTTCATTTGTTATTGGCATCCTACTTTGCCATTCAACATTTTGTCCCTGGTGGTCCTGTCTGTCCCAATGTATTAGATGACCATGTATAGGGTCTCGTGGATTAGTCCTTTGTTTAATGTAGAGGCAATCTATAAGCTGAAATAAAACTTGGCTAGAACCTCGCATCCTTATTGGTTTTCAATGTCTCCAGTACTTTGTTACTGTAGCCTAAAATCAGTTTGCTGTGCAAACTATCATGCAGCTGCTTCTAATTTTCCATTGGGACTTGTTATTGTATAGAAATCATATCTAGATTTTAAACTAGCCCTTCCTAATCAGGTTATAAAAGAATAGCTTTTTCATCAAGGACTTAATTTTTAGAGAAAATTTGCTGTTGTTCTTATTGACGCTTGGTGTCAGGCAAACAAATTTTCTTTGACATGTCTAATGGATACATAACAAGGTAAAAAATTGGCTGTTTTATTTTTGGGCTGAAAATAGTACACATTTACAATTGAAAAAATCCCGTTTATTTCATTTTATGTGTGTATTGGTGTTTTTATGCACGTTTTAGACAATGTGCATATGAATGCAAATATTAAGTTCTATTGACACACACACACACACACACACATATGTATATGCAGATCTTAGTGTTTTTCAAATATCTGTTTATTCTTTGAATAATCTAGTGTTTCAAAATCCGTAGGGAAACAATGCAAAGAGTTAGAGAGTTAGTTCAGTTTGGAGGATTTTCAGATTGCAACTATCTGCAAAGAACATTGCTCAAAGAGTTTCAACAGATGGAGTCCAGGCATAACTTTCTCTCTTTTGTTCTCATCTATTTTAGAGTGGTATTATTCCAATAGAGATATCATGGTGAACACGTAATGGTTTATTTGAGCTTACAAACATGATGAATTCGTATATGTAATGGAGTCATTTTTAACGTTTTAATGTGCAACTGAATTTGTTTAGCATACATTAGTTCTTATTATACATTTCTAATTAATGCCTACAACTGAATTTGTTTAGCATACATTAGTTCTTATTATACATTTCTAATTAATGCCTACAATTTCAGTTTCAAGGAAGCTTTCCTGATGCCCTTTACGACGATTTCAAAGAAGATTCTTTGTGAGGATTTGCTGCCACTATTTCCTCTTCCATCTTCTCCAACACCTATGTCTATAGCAGTGCCTATGTCAATATCATACTACGAGGTACTTCTAAATGATTAGGAAGTTCTGTTATCTTTTTCCTAACTATAGTGTTAAGTCCTATCTTTCATGGTCACCAGATGATTTGTACGTTTTGTTGCCAAGTATGATTGATTGGAAGTTTTATGCTTTACATGCTTAATCTCATCATCGATGATAACGATTGCAACCTGTTTTTCATTTTCTTACTAAATATCCCTTTCATACTAATGATTTTCTTTGGATGTAGGATGTCTCCCAATCTGACCAGACTTCTTATCATGATTTTATTGATTACATATCTTTCCGAGTGCCCGATGAACCTTTCTCAGATATTGCAAATTGTATTGGCATAGCAAGGGGATTTATGCATGATGTAAGCAATGTAGAAAGGGGTTGCACTTCATTGGAAGTTGTGTTGTTATCTGTTCCTGCAGGTTATAACTGTGTGGACCTGTCATTATATAAGGTAGGACCTAGCTATATCACGTGGCAGTGTTCAGTCTTTAAGTTTTAATTTGATGGAATCTGACACTACCGGTTATGTTTGATACAGGAAAGTCAACTTGTTTTGTTATTAAATGAAACAAGTACCTCTTCTGAAAACTCTGGAGAAGGTTGTATGATAATTGTGCAAGCTAGTGACCTTCCATTTGTATCTATTTCAAGATCAACTTGTCAAAACCATTGGGAGTTACATCACCTAAAGGTAAATATTGTGTCTACTTGAATTGAACAAAATGTTGTTGGCTCCAATAGTTTTTTATGTTTTGGCACCTGAATTTTGTTTATATTTCAATAGCCGTGCAAATCCTGTAATTGCCATCTGTTTGAATCTGATGGACCTGCTGTGCATAAGGTGTACACCCTTAAAGGGCGTAATAGACAGTGAGGAGGTTTGTTACGGTATAGGGTCCACAAGTCACAGGTGTAATCACAGGTGTAATGTGGGTGTGAGTCTGTGAGAGTAAGAATTGTGTGAGTAAGGGCAATTACGGAAAGGTTTAGTATATAAATATTATGAGTCTTAGTAGTAGGTTTGAATATAATTTTAGAGGCTGAACAATGGAGGCTCCTGGCTCCTCGAAATGCTAGGATTTACTGGTTACAGTTCTCTTTGTTCCATTGTCATCTGATTATCATATTGCTAATATCTGATTAATATACATATTGGAGTTTATCCAGATTGCTTGTCCATGCATTGTTATTGATGTGGTTTGGCTGTGTGTTGAGTTAGATTGCAGGTGGACCTATCAGAATCCTTACAGTTTTTTTATCCCGGAGCCCTTTCTCTTCACGGGGTTCTTTCAAGTTGAAACTGTCCTTTTTGGCATTGTTTTTGCTGCATTAAGTACATAATCAGCGTTTCATATATCTTCATGCCCTTTCCTTGCTCTTTTGTGCATCCTCATTTAACTTGTATCTACTTCTGAAAGGATGAACCCCAAAGTTGATTTACTTGTTGCTCTACATTATCAAATTTTGTTTTGTCAAAATCTTACTTCTCAGAAATTTGTTTGATTAGGACTCTATTGTGTACCTGCAAATGGAAAATGAAAAGGTTCGCAGTATTCCTCATTCAGTAGTTGCTCCCTTGGCAGTTAGCGGTAAGTGTGTATCTGAAATTTTTGTTAATCTTTAATAGTCTTTTTGGAAGAACAATGAGTCTAATCTGGTTCCTATATGTTGCACTTAAAATCCCAATGTTGACTAATAATCTGGATTCTGCCGAGTTGTATCTAACAGTTTATGTATTTGCATCTTATGTTTTGGCATACCTTGCACAATAAATTCCCTTGCATTGTCGAGGTTTTACTCAAACAAAAAAAGAAAAAAATCTCACCTTGCACAATAAATATAACTCAAAAAACTGATAAATTTCTGGTATATATTATCATAGCTGTATCTTCTGAACTGGATTCGCATTAGCTCTTGTGATATTTCTATGCTGATAAACTAAATTTCTTAGACCTTATCGTATTTGACATGGAAGGTGCTCATCAGTGTATTAATACATTGGAAGGTTATTGTGCACATAAGCATGGAATTCATCTTAAGCAACAGTTCAAACACGAACTGCATCACTACTACTTGGGTCAATTATTAAGAGGTCATCATATATGTCAAAATTGACTACCATTTGTTACATTTGTACAATGATTCCTGTCTTGTTCCGTAACATTTCCCTACAAAGAATGTGTTTGTGTCCCCAATGCTTAAGACAAAAGAGGCATAATTATATTTCAATGATATGTGCATGTGCCTCTCAGTCTCTTCCAAACTTCTTAATCTTTCTTCATCTAATGCTGATTCTCATGAATTCATCATGTAACGCTTACCGACATTGTTCTCATTCTTTAGCTTCACAACCATTGCAGTATTCACTACCATCATCTTCATCCTCTTACCATTTTTGCCATCTTGTCACATAAAAAAACTATAGGGAAAACAATAACATAGGTTATAGTATAACATGTTGTAAGGTTTGTTGTAGTTAATAGTAGAAGTTTTGAGATGTAAGTTGAAGTTCAAATATTTTGACACGCTTTTATGGAAATTTACTGTAACAGCATCTAGAGGGGTGGCTTGCGTGTTTGCTGCAAGGAAGCGAGCCTTGGTCTACATTCTAGAGGAAGATGAAGATAAAGTTTCAGATACAGAATGACTCAATCCTATGTTCTTTTTCTTTTGAGTTTTTATTACCCATGTCATGTTTGTTGTTTAATAGACTATTCAAATCAAAATTAACCAACATTCTAGCCTAAGGGCTGTTTGTTTATATAATTTATTTTGTTAGAATATTGAAAAGGAGATTGTTTAAAACTAATCTGATTTAAAATTTATATAAATATGTATTCATATATATCACAAGAAAAATCTAGAAGATCATCCAATATTATCAACCTACGAATTTATGTCATTTCGCAATTTTTTCACTTATTTTTAAATTAAATATAATTGATAGTTATTAAATAATAACAATAGGATATTCATCGTTTCATGTGTTAATTAGTGGTATCATGCCATAGACTTTTTTGTTATTAGTTTGTACATTAATTTATTTAATAATTCGTTTTAGCTTGATTCTTAATATGTATATGAAATGATAATACTTTTCCTAATTATAAAGTAATAACATACCGCCCATTTGTCATTACCTCAAGTTAGACACTTTATTTAAGGGTGATTGATTCCGAGTACCTTGTAGTTTTTGAAGGAATCGGAATTGGTTAGTTCCTAAGATATGGAATCAAAATCAGTACCAACTGGTTCTGGTTCCTAGAAACCTGAAACCAGAACTTAAACATAATAATTTTCGGATATGGGTATCCACATTATTGATACCCCTATTTTCAAAAAAATGACAAATACACCCCCAAAAAATAACCATACAGCCCTAACAGTTTACAAGAATTACAATTCAATCCCAATTCCTATCGAGTATCCAAACCTCGGTTCTGGTTTCAGGTTCCCAGTTCCAGCACTGCAAGAACTGAAACTGGACTCAAGAATTCTCGGTTCCAATTTTCCAAAACCAGGGTTATGCACTCGCCAGTTCTGGTTCTATTGTCTCTTCGTATTAATTATTCCAACTATAGGTTTTTCTTCAACAAAATCTCATGAAATCAAAGTATCGTATCCATAGTTATCACCTCCACAACTTTTCTCTCACGAAATCAAACCTTCAACTAAGCGAAACTCTGCCACGGATACCTAAACGAACCTTATTTTCATCACCACCATATTCTCTTTTCAAAATCAAACCTTTCAACCAAGTCAAACCTTACCATGAGAACCTCAACGAAACTTCCAGTTTCATCAATCTACAAAAATCCCATAAACATGAGGTTCTCTGTTTCAGTTTCAAGAACTTGATAAAACGTAACAGAAATAAAAAAACATGCAATCAAATGAAAGAATAAAAATTGACATATATCACTACCATAAGTTGACTTCACTGTTAAAAAAAAAGACCTAACAAAACACGATTTTATAATGCATCAATAGCGTTTGATCAAGACTACCATAATTAGAGAGCAAAAACATCAACATATATTCTGTCCGATGGCAACTAACATAATGAAATGAATTGCAAGATAGGATACAATATATTAACAAATTCTAGAAGTGATAAAGTTAGATGTCCACTTCTATCGAATTTGTCTCCAAATGTAAATTAAAGCGAGAGACCTATGCTAAGTTTTCCTGCTTTTGGAAAGGCTCTCCCTGAAAAGCACCCATCCGCAATCATCTTCAGTTGAAACAGCTCAACTGTATTTGTCATTGGGATTTCCATAGACGATGCTCATGGGTGGAAAAAGACTGACAGCTGTTAATACAGAAGATGCAAGCTTACTATACAGGCAAGAACTGTACAAGCAGGGAGATTCTCAGATGTCGGGATTATAATCCAAGGAAAGACAGGAGCTTGAGGAGCAAGATGCTAACCAAGAATTCGAAGTCCATTCATTGTCGTAACTCGCATTAGAATATAATCGAGCATGGTGGGAGGAGCTAGCCTATTAATACCAAAACCAGATCAACTTTGCTTTACAGGTCATATCTATGAATCATCCAACTCAACAAGTTGTGCACGCTTCTCAGCGGCCTTCTTCCTGATAAAGATACCCCACCGAAGGGCTGCCTTAAGCTTCAGCCAACCAACAACAGCTTTGCCTGATGAACGAGAACGATCATCCTCATAGCTGTAATTGGCAGATGGGTTACCCATGAATGCAGATGAGTAAGGGTATCCATCGTCTGTTACATTAAAGGGAGAATGGCCCTGGCCTCCCATGTTGAATATACGAAGTAGATGCTGCATGTCCTCATTTTCAAGCATCTCATGACTTCTCATACGAATGTCCTCCTCTGTGAGGAAGTCCTCAACTCCCCTATAACTAGTAGGATTTGATGTGCCAACATCCTGGAAACCCAATGAGGATGTCTGTGGTCGACCAAGGGCCAAGACATTGTCACATGGAAGATGGGCTTGCTGTGAAGCAGCCATCATTGGATTCTGAAGTGGAAATGAAGTGCCTTCAAACTGCATTGGAGCACTGAGATTAACATTTTGTTGCTGTATTGGGAATCTGGAAGGAGTAGTATCATTATAACCTGGACACAAACAGAAAAAAAAAAAAAAAAAAAAAACATCAATAATCAGCAATACAAAATGCAAATACGAATGAAAGAACTATCAAATAAAATTTTGGGTGGGATTGAAGTATAACAAGACTGCAATATTTGTCTTTTACCAATCAATCCATTTCCACAATGTGGTAACTATATTTGTTCCTAATGTTCTTACTATCAAAACTATACCTCCAGCTGTTAAGCCTGAATTCATAGAAGGCTGCTCTGGAGGAGCTGGAACTGACAGAGTTGGTAGAGTGAGCTGATCAAATGAATTTATATAATGTTGAGGAGCAGTTGGAACATCAGTTTCAGGGGCACCTCCGCTCTTACTCTGTGTAAACCCTAAAAGAGATTTGCCATCATACTCTATTACATGCATCCAATTGTCATATGCCTTCTTGACTAAAGAGTCAACATGGACCTGCAATGACAAACCATTCCCAAATTTCTCAAGCTTCATCCTCCTAATATAAAACAAAAACTTCTTTATAAATATTAAACTAAGTTTAAATTTCTAGAATAAGAGGACATATCGTTTCAAAATTTTTAAACACATTACTAATTGTAAATTTGTGCTGGGCAACAAACAAAGTTTCCTGTGCTTGATTATATTTCTATTTATGGCAACTGCTTGTGGACTTACGCCTACCTCTGTCTAGGATAAATTCCTTCAATGTAGGAGAGTTTCCCAGATGACAAGACTATGGAAAAAGTAGATAATCTTTATTTTAAGTTTTGAAGGCTTTAAAGTGCCTGAAAAGGAATATCAGTGGTCCACAATAAACTTGGTATAAGGAATGAAAACCAAGATTAAATTCCAAAAGCATATTGGATGGAAGACCTTCAGAAAATGAAACCTTAATAATATGTACCTTCTGACTGTCAGAAAGAGAATCACTTGAGTGATATTGTCCATTAGCAATAAGGCCACAGAACTCATAAATATTGTTAAAGACAACACCAACATTCCTTGCATCATCAGGATAATACACATAAACTGTCCCACTTAGAACACAAGTCTTCGCATGCTCCACAAGGACGTCCCACATTTTATTTGACATGCCACTTCCAAGAATCTACAACAATGAATTATTAAAATGATTACAAACAGCAATATACAGATAAGATCCCTGATTTGACAACCAAATCTACATACTTACGTTTCGCAACCTCTGTGAGTCTCTAACTACAAGTCGTAGGAAGTCTTCAACTGTGAAAATTCCAGCTTTATTCAGCCTCTTATGGAATGACCCATCTTTTCCAATCTTCTCCAATCTCCAGACCTCATCATTCAGGGTAGGTGGATAGTGTTTCTTATACACTTCAAAGCAAACAGAATTGTCAGACCCATCAATGAAAAACAAGCAAATACTTAAAATACATTAAATCTTAATAAAAGTTTTGGCTGTAATTAAGAACTCACATTCTCCCCGATGATCCTTAACAGTGAAGGCATCTGTTTTTGCTTCACGAATGCGAATGCTTTCACAATAACCTGAGGCAACCTTCAGCCCAAGCCTGAACTTCCTGCTCCTTATCCAGCTTGAATTATCAGTAAAAGTAAGCTCCCCTAAAGTCCCTACTCCTTCCTTCAGTGTCACTTGCAGATCCCCAGTTAAAAGTGGTCTCTTTCCTTCACGCTCTTTAACCACATGACTCTCAAATTCTTCTTGGGTCCAAGTATCATTATTTTCATTGTTGAAATCACCCTCAAGCACCACAACATCCAATTTCACTACGGACTCTGGACCCGAAGTGACAACATGACCTGTGTTTGCATCAATCAAGACAATGTGGATGGCAGCACCCTGTTCTCCTTCTACTTTCCCTCCGGTAAAAAGAGGAAGCGACAACCTGGACTTGAAGTGCAGCTGCAAGTTTCTTCCATCAGGTCCTTCTATACGTTTAGGAGAAGACCTGCATTTCTCAACTGTTGTAAAAACACACCTCCAATAAAGATGCATCACAATGCACCAAACAATCACTTTAACGGCAACAACAGCAAGCACAATAATCAAATAAAATATAGACAGAAGCTAAATTTAACAATGAAATGGGATGTAAGCTGAAATTTGAAACAGCTAACTTACAATAAACTAAAACAAATCCAATCCAATTATGATATGGGTTAGGATATAATCTATCAAGCTTTGAAATAAAATTATAGCCAGATGCCCATATCTCAGCTTGACATAAACCTTCTAAGAACTATAGACAAATTCTTGTGAGAATGGTTGAGGCAGGTGAGGAGTCCATTATATTACTTGGTCCAAAACAGTAAAGAAGTTGCTTGATGCAAGAAATTACATCCATCTCAATCTCTTCTTTAATATATAGTTAATCGTTTCTTACAAAATAATAATAATAATAATAATAATAATAATAACAAAACTACATCCATTTCCGTCATTAAGCCAACGATTAAAATGAAGTGATCTTTGCACAAGATAAGAGAGTTCAGCAGATAATCTTTTCCTTAACTAGACAAATAAGAGGCAAATTTTGTTTACATCTAACAAATTCTTTTTCTTCATTGCTAAACATCTCTGACACAATTTAAAACGATGAATGCATGGTGGCAATGTAAAATAGATAGTTACACCAAGAACTCAGATCAAATTAGATAAAAGAGTGCTGGCATCTTCATAAGACAAGATGATAATGTGATGTGGTTGCCTGCTAGGTAGTATGGTAAAGTCAGTTGTCATTGCACATTTAACCTGGGATCAAATCCCATTCCCACTGACACTGGGAAAAGAGGATATTAAATGGAAGATGGGTTTCCAACCCAAATGTTAGTTCATATGATTAATGAAAAAAACTTTTCCAGAGACAGGTAAGACAAAATATCCTGCTCTGACTATTAGGTTTATAAGCTAAGCTTTAAATTCCATACCTTCCGGTCAGTTTGGCAGGGCCCAGTTTTGCCAAAGCCCTTTCCACCTCTTCACTAACCTGTCCGGAACACAAAACAGAAAGTTAAGAAACAAGAAAGCACCCCATATGAAATGTACAACCAGAAAATAAGTATTTCATATATCATGCATCTAATAGTAACAAAAAATCTTCTTTAGAAAGAGTTGCACTGATGCTTAAAGTACCTTGTTTAACATCACTCACCATATGCCAAGTCTAGGCTTGGTAATTATTTTGAAAAAAGAAACTCAGACAACAATTATTGAAGACGTAATAGGTAATCATATACACTGTTTCATACTAAAAATGACATATAATTTTTGCTTTGAAATGTCTGCTGGTTGTTCATTACCTATGTAACATAGCTGTCTACACAAATAAAGATTTGCAGTCTCTAGTTATGTATTGATCCATGTATTCATACAACATTACAGGCATTATTGCAACTTATCATACCCAGATAGATAGAAAGATTCACATACTATTATTGCAACTTATCATACCCAGATAGATAGAAAGATTCACATACTGTTTCTTAACTGTTACACAGGTAGACACCAGACAGATATAATTAAACTCTATAGATAATGATATTAAACAAATGATAAGTCAAAAGAAAGCTACTCTAACTGATAAAGAAAAACAAAATTCAAAGGGGACTTATTAATCTTACAACTCTCCGAAGAATAGGCTCTAATGATGAGCAAAGTTTCTGTAAACTATCCACCTTGAGAGCTTCAACAATGACACTGCATCAGAAGTTGAAATTTTTTCAATTACGCAATATCTCACTTAGGCACCAAAAATGCTTACAAATTTCCATTAAACTTTAGTAAATGAAAAACTAACCTCTGCTAAAATAAGTATTCATGATTTACATTCAAGATATGAAAGAACTAGTTACAGCAAAAATAAGACACAAGAAGAATAAGGCATTCATTCAAATCTGAGATAGACCCCACCTTTTAAGTCAGAGCAATATCATGACAACATCAACAGAAATTCCAAAAGAAAATAGATAAGAATAAGCAACTTAATTAAGTACTTTTTGCAAAATTTGAAAGCACCACAAGATTTAAAAAAAGAAAAAAGGACAGCAAGAAAAGGATTTTAGTGGCTAATTAACCAAAGTAAGTTAATGAGTTTAGCCATAACATCAAAATGAAATTCATAGCATGATTTGTGACTCTTCTACTGGGAAAATTTGATGTGTACCAACAATTGTGTCCATCCATGTCCAATACACATATGGCTAGTTGTGGAAGAATCCAACTTTATCCAAAAACACGTGATCTTAATCAAGTACAAGTGTTTATTATTATAAATACACAAATATATGCATACATAACTGTTTCCTCTATACTCTGGATTCACGGAGAGCTGCAATATCAAACACTACATGTCTATATCTCTAAAAATAATAAGTTATATATCCTAAAAAAATATTAAATGGACAAATCATGTTCAATACATTGTTAACCCTTTCACAGTCCGTACAACAAACAAATGACTACCACCACCACACCACCAGAACAAAACCAGAAACAGCATAAACAGCAAGAAAACCAGTCTTAACAACGCCTCACTTTCCTACATAGCTAGGCCTAGTAAACTCGTATTCATTGTTCATCTCACCACAGAATGAAACAAGTTACACCAAATATCAAGCAAAAGTATTACAACTTAGTGCTTTCTACTCCCTGTTTTCACAAGATTGATGTAAACTGTAAGCCAGTATCTGTGATTAGTTCTTCAGATTTATTTATATTTCACATGTGTACGAACATCAAAAACTAAAAGCTCCTACGTTTAGTCAAGTCCGCGCCATGATCTGTCAATAGCTTAGTTCATCAACTTTTTGAGTCATAACTCCTCGCACCTACTTCTCTTTACCTAAATTTAATATTATTTAACGACTAACTCAAGATTAAACTAACAAAATTCTAACTAATTATGTAACTAACAACTAACCAAATTAAACAGTGAAATTATAGAAAAGAATTAAAAATAAATAAAAAATTCAACGCTTCATTTTAAACTGGAATATAATAATAAAAATAATCACCTGGCCAAAGCAGGTCGTTTCCTATCAGGCTGACCTTCTTCAGCTGAACTCGCATCCAACCCTCTCTTACTATTGGATCTCTCCATGTACCTCGTTTGCATCTTCCGAAACGCCGCCGTGACGTAGACTCCACAGAAACTTCACGGAAACAAACTAAGAAAATCAAACTCAACTACCGTACCGTTACTCACTTGGACTCTGATAAACTACAAGATAACAAACTCAAGTCGAATTAAAATACCATAAAATTTCAAGATTTGGATAGAGTAACAGTAATTTGACCTAAAAAAGAAGAGAATAAAAATTGGATTAAAGAGAAAAGAAAAAGGCCAAAAGCGAGCGGGAAAGTAAAACCTGAAGGTGAGGAATTTCAATTTTAGAGTATGTATGAAGTTTCGTGGAAATGACTACGAATTTTCGCTTCACTAGACCTTTTCCTTTAACTTTTGTCCACTTGTGTTACACTGACGTCTTTGGCTTTGAATTCTAGCGAATCCGTTGGTGATTGGGATCAGTGATCAGTTGATATCGGCCGTTGGATGTTTGGTCATGATTAGGAATCTTTTTATTTTTTTAAGGTTTTACACTGAGTGATTGCGGATGAACAGTGAGAGTGGCTGTGCGGTATTTGGAATTTGGTGATATCAAATTATTTTATTTATTATACACGCACTTATGTTGATGACTTGATATTATGGTTTATTGCAGTATTAAAATTTTAGGATTTACGAGGGATGAAGGTATTAAATTCAACGGCTAAGTATGTGTGTAGTAGTCAATAAAGTTTATTCTTTTTATTAATTTTTTTTTTTTTTTGTAGACTACCTTAAACCACGTATCACATTTAAGCTTACATAAAACATTAGGTTTGTAAAATATTCAATAGGTCTCAAGGATGTTGAGATACGCACCCATCACCTTTGTGACTTATCTAAAACATTAGATCTATAGAATGTTTAATAGGCCCTTGGATATTCAATAATCTTGAAGATTAATTGAATGCACTCAACTTATCTTTCATGATTTTTTTTGTTCAAACCAACTTAGGTCACGTATTACATTTATAGCTTACATGAAACATTGGACATGTGGAAAGTTTAATAGATTTCGATGATTACTTTAAATGCGCACCTATTATATCTGTGAATTATCTAAAATATTATATTTATAAAATGTTCAATAGACCTTAGAGTATTTAATAAACCCTGAAGATTAATTATGATGTACATACTTGCTCAGATACCGGTTTCCAAAAAAAAAAAATTACTGAATTGATTGACATCTTAAATCTTAGATAAGAAATTTTAGTCATCCATCAATTATTATCCATATATATCGCCGGTATATTGGCCGGTATATTGTTGAATGAGGCTTACAAAGAGAAACCGTTTTTTTTGAGAAAAATACATTTTTGTTATTCAAAAAAAAAAGAGAGCGATTTTCGATAATAATTAATAATTTCCCAAGTACCCTAAGACATTACTATAAAGTCTTTTTGAAACCGTATAAACCGCCTGAAAGTATCATAAACTCCTTTTCAAATACAAGTCTCGCATAGTTTATTAAAAACCCCTCTATAGAAGAGTTTTGCATAGTTTACAAACATACATGGCAAGTGTTTTGAGGCTTGACAATCTCTCAAGCGCGGACCAAATTAACCCAAATGAAAGCTGATTACTAGTGATTAAAATCATCAAATCAATAATGGAATGCATGGGAAATATACGTTTAACAATTAGAGAATTTGGATTTCTCCAATATCCTGCAAATGCCCAAGGAGTCGTGACTTTATAAAATTTCAGAGTATAATGTCATCCAAAGGGCTGTGCACCACAATAATAACCGAACCATTAGAGAAACAACAATGGTGCAACTCAAATTCTCCAACCATTGTAATCTCTTTGCATGGTAAAATGGAAAAGATTGAAAAGAGAAAGGAAAAACAATTCTTGGCCAAAAAATATAGAAATTTTCTTATAAGCAAGGATTAAAAAGTGACACTTAGCAACCAGCAATGCTATAATACAACAAAAATCAGCAACCAACAGCTAATCAGGAATCTCAGCAGCTGCACTTGATAAACTCGATATTCATCTTAACAGCAGAAAACTTCAACCCAATAAATTGAAGGGAAAACAACTACCGCCTTTTCTGGTTCTTTTTCTTCCCTTTCTTTTTGTCTCTTTTACTTTGTGGCTTTGACCGCGATTTGCGTCTTGCAACTTTCTTGAATGGTTTACTTTTACTCACAGGTATATTGTGCTTTTTATTGATCCCAATAAAGCTGGGCACAGTAGCTGGTGTATTTCCACCATGGAAGTTCTCTTCATCACCAGTGATATCACTAGTTGTCACAGTGACTTTCATTTCGCCATTGTCATAAAGTGTTGTTCCTTTGAACAATAAAAAATAAAAAATAAATCCAAAAACCAAACGTTAACTAAGTATAAAGCTAAGCTCATACAAGAACATACTACATTTCACCATGAATAAGTGCTGGTTCATTGCATGCATGTACCAAGAAACAACACACGTTAATTATTAACACGCTGAAATATGCAGGTGATAGAAAAACATGTGAATCAGTAAATTAATAATAGAAATATTGCTTTCTCCAAAAAGGAAAGATATAAGATTGCCACTATCAACAGCAATCCAAATACCAGCTTCATTCCAATGTCTCTGAGATGTTATAACATCATGACAAGAATATATGATGCTATTATTTCAATCCACTGGATCAGTGAAGTTTAGCAACTTTAGAAACAGCATATATAATTGAATTATTTAATCCACCAGACCAGTAATGTTCAGCAACTTGAGAAACAATCGTCTCGAAAACCAGACAACCACAATTTGCAAAGTTAGAATTCCCAGCAATGAGCAAATGGGGGCTAGCAGGCTACAACTACCACATCCAGCAGCAGCTCCATAAGAGCAACTTAATGAAAACTGATATATTGAAATAACTCGTTTATATATTTCAGTCCAAAAGGTTGCAGTTTCCAAAAATTACCTGTAATTGGTGCCAGTGGCTCTCCTTCTTCATCCTCCTCAAGGTATACCTCACTTTCATCAGGCACAGAATCAGTGGGTGGTGGATTTCCACCATATAAAACAAACTCTTTTTCCAATCTTCTCTGCCACATAAATAAAATGGCAAAGTTAACACTTAAGCATGGTACCTTTCTAATGCGTTTTGGATTACACATAACTCCCAACTCCAACCCAAACATATAATTAGGTGCAATCTGTACCAGAAGTTTACTCCTAAACTAATAAGACAATTAAATAAAACAATTGTCAAAATTGTAAAATTACATTGGGTTTTTCCAAAAGATATAGACTTTCTAGACCAACACTTTAATTCTCTCATGGTTTATGAATCCCAGCCAATGATTGTTTAATGCTACGAATACATAAATACAAAAAAAGGAAAATAGAAAAGATTATGAGTACTTAAATGCCTATTGAAGTCTTAAATCATAAGAGAAGCTCATATCATGATAAACATAGGCCATCAACAGTTTAATTTCTCTGTTACAGAACATGCATAGGCTCTGTTGCCTAAACAAATAATTGCTCTTCTACAACATATATAGGCTGTGTTGTCTCGTATATATATGTTGCAGAGATCATTAAGCAATATTTTTATCTGATACGAGCTAAATCCAATCTTGAACAACCATAAAAAGTTCAACCTCTAACAAAAGCAAAATGTGTAGATCATTAAGCATCCATGGAAACCAAAACAACCCATCAAACTTTACAGCACCATTCAATATAACAACTTGAATTTAACTTCTACCATAAGCAAATTAAAAAACCAAATTACATGTAAATGAAGCCATTTATTTGCTACAAAGCTGTTGTCACTATTAACACATATTACAAATGTCATAGAAAACACATAAAACTACATATTATAATCCAACAGCAATTTTTTTTTTTTAAAAAAAAGTAAAAACCTTTTTGCGTTCCTCAAGGCGCTTAAGCCTTTTAGCCTCCTCTTGCTTCTTTTCAGCTTCCTTTCTCCTCTTCTTCTTCCTCTTGTGAAACCCAGTCACGTAGTCCCTTAATCCAAGTATAAATAAAAAACAACTAATTGTAAAACTTACACATAGAAAGAAAACCCACATTACCCAGTTCACCAATAAAGCTAAAAATAAATAAACCAATTTTTCACTAAAACTATAAAAAGAAGAATAAGGGTTTAAGGTTTTGGGCAAATACTTGAGGTCTTTCTCGTCGAATGAAACGGAGAGAGCTTTATTCTTGAGAGCCCTTTTCTTTATGTGTCGGCCTCGGACTTTTGGGACCTCTGGTGCTTCCTGTTCAATCTCTTCTTCCATTGCAGCTCCACACTAGAGTCTGCTTCTCTGTCCCAACTCCCAAGAGCTTGATGTTTCAAAAGAGGGTTCAGTTTAGTTAGTTGGGTCATCAAACGGGTCTCTTTTTGGGCTCCGGTTAATTGTTTGCAGTTCAGAGTTGGTTTTAGATGGGCTTTGAAGTTCTGGACTTGAGGCTATATGCAAAAAGATAAAAATTTAAGAAATCAGCTCCCATCAAATTGACCAGTATACCCCATTGCTAAATACATTTGTTATATTTTAAAAAGAAAAATTCTTTAAACCCCATTTAATACCAAAAATAGCCCTGCTTAATTAGGTTTAATTAGGGTTTTAGTTCCTCGATTTAAAATTTAATTAGAGTTTTTGTTTATAGCCCCTTTTTTTCCCAATTTCAAACTAAATTAGGGTTTTTTTGTTTATACAATTTTTTTCCAAATTTCTAAATTAATTTTTTTTTTTTTTCATCTATACCCCTTTTCCCTAATTTCAATTTTGAAACTTACTTTTTCTTTTTCAGATTATGATTCATCCCAATATGTAATTACTTTCTCCACAACTTTAGTAATATATTTTCATCAAACAAAGAAATAATTGAAATTAAAAAAAAAATGTTTCAATAATTTAAAACATTTAGAGTTAGGGTCTATGATTAAGAATTAAAGGTTAAAATTAAACAAAAATATAAAATAGAGAATGCGTATATTTAAAAATTATTATGTCCATGTCTAGTAATTTTCATTAAGGTTACAATTATTAAAACAACATAATATTTAGTTTATTAAATATTATTATTATTCTTACACTAAATACTGTATATATTTTTGTAAAATTTATCACTCGAAGAGATGATATTTTAAGTCATTTGTATTTCAAATTATTGAATTTACTAAATTATTTTGTTTATATATGTATGATTTTTGCTTATGCAACAATTGTTGTAGGGTTTAAAAATTAATATTGGGGCTCCACATAGCATTCTTTCATCTAAGCACAAGCAACAGATTACTTAACTATATTTTAATTTTTTGGATTGCAATTTTACAATCACTCTTTACATACCTTTTGCTAAAGAGTAAAAGACTTTTTCCTACCCAAGGTTTGGATGATCTGCATGTTCCCACCCCTGGTTTCATTAATTGCAAATCTAAACCCTTAAATAAACAAAATCTCATTTCTGTTAATGGTGGAAAGGTAGGTTAGTCAATTAACTTTAATCTGAATTAAAATGTCAATTCAGCCATTGGGAAACATAGCAAAACGTGTGGGATTTGGCGGTTGAATTAAATGTTTATGCCTCTTCTCATTTAACCCAACAACTCTCTCTTTCTTCTCATTTGCGCTCCTAAGAGAAAAGAAAAATGACGACAACCCTTTCACCTTCTCCTTCAAAGCTTTAACCCTTTCACCAGACAACCCTAACCTGGAAAACCCGACAACATCTAAAAAACTCCTCATTCAGCCATGGACAACGAGTGGAGCAAAACCTAACGAAACCAAATAATCCTAACCCAAAAAACTCAACGACAACACCAAACAACCCTAACCCAGAAAACCTGACAATAGCCCTAAGCCTCCTCCTTCAACCGTGGACGACGAGTGGAGCAAAACCCAACGACACTAAGCAACCCTAACCTAGAAAACCCGACAAAAGCCCGACGACATCCCTAAATCTCCTCTTTCAACCGTGAACGACGAGTGGAGCAAAACCCAACGAAAGCCCTAAACCAGAATCATAAACAATGACCAAAAACCTCCTCCGTCAACCGGTAGACAACCGTAGAGGTTGACAACACAAATAACCCTAAACCAAAATCGTAAACGACAACCGCCTACTTCAACCAGCAAGCCATGGCGATGTGGTCTGCATCTGGGTATATTGCATCGTATTTTTTTAGTTTTACATCTATATATGTGTTGGGGGCTTTGTTGTGGTGTTTGTGGTGTTATTAGGTGATTATGCGGGTAATCTGTGTTTAGTATAGTGATGATGGTGGCAGGGTGGTGGTATAGTGGTGATGGTGGTTATGTCATGGTGTTAGGGTGGTGGTGGTGGTGTTAGGGTAGTGGTAAGGCGGTGGTTGGTGGTGATGGTGGCTGACAAAATGATGGTACGGTGGTGGTAATGTTAGGTGATTTTGTTGGTGGATTAGGGTTACGGTTGGTGGTTTGGGTTCAGTTTTTGTTACATGTTTATGTTTTTAAGGGTAGTTTAGCTGGAAACCAGTGACTGTCTTAAAAACTACCTAACAGATCTTGACAACCTCTGGCGTAATAATGTCGCATACCCCTAAATCTTTTTGGGCATGTTTGTGTTATGTTGTTGATGCATGTTTGATTGTTTGGCTTGTTTGGGTTATGTTTTTGCCGCTGCATGTTTTATGTTTTTAAGGGTAGTTTGGCTGAAAACCAGTGATTGTCTTAAAAACTGCGTAGTAGATCTTGATGATCTCTGGTGTAACAATGTCGTATACCCAGAAATCTTTTTGGGCATGTTTGTGTTATGTTGTTGCTACATGTTTGGTTTATGTTTTTGCTGTTTGTGTTTATTTATTCACGCTGAAACCAAAGTTGTTTGACCTTAAAATTCAATTGTTTAGTTCTGAATACGAGATATTGAATGTTGATCCAGATGAATATAGTTATATGTGTTTTATTAAAGATATAAAGCATTGTGTGGCTGATGAGAATGAGGTTATCCAATTGTACCTTGATGAAGAGTTCAAGGTTGAGGTTGGGTTATCCTTATCAAGGAAAAGATACTTATTGAATGGAGATAATGATATGAACTTCATTTTTCAGGAATATGAGATTAAAGGCATGAGAACAATTAGGGTTTATGTAGAAGCCAAACCATTAGAATGTGTTGAAGGTATAGGTTTCTTAGAAGCATTTAATTAGTGTGAGAATGATAGTGGGTCTGAATCTCCTGTGAGGCAAGCTAATGATCTAGATGAAGGGGGTGTTGCAAATGAGTGATGTAAGTGATGATGATAGAGATAATAAGGTTGGGTAGGGAACTGGTGCTAAGGAGATGAATGAACATGGTGCCTAAGATGGGTAGGGAAGTGGTGGGGTAGAGGAGAATCAAAGTGGTAAGGTTTAGAGGCGTGAAAGTGGGGGGAGGGGGAGGGGGTGAGGGGATACCAAGAGGACAGTGAGGATGTAGTCAGTTCAGGGTCTAGTAAGGATGATGATGCAGTCTCCAGGTTTAGCAAGAATATGAAGGGTCAATAGTTTGCATATGAGGCTGGTGGGAAAATCTAATTCAAAGTTGGTCAAGTGTTTGAAGGAGTTTATCATTTTAGGAAGGTTTTTCAGGATTATCTAATTCAGAGGGGGTTTGTTGTGGATAAGATACACAATGGGAAAAGAAGATTTAAGGCAAAATGTAAGCAACCTAGTTGTCCCTTTCATATATACGCTACTCTAATGGTTGATAAAATATCTTATCAGATTAGGAAGTATACAAAAACACATACTTGTTTGAGGGTTTACAATAATCCTGGTGCAATAAGTGCTTGGGTGGCTGAGAAAATGGGAGACTTTATTAGATCACAAAAAGGATCATCAATTAAGCCTTTGTATGAGGAGCTGAGCAAGAAACACTATTTAGATTTGTCTAAACATAAACTTTATAGGCCTAATAGGCGGGCAAAAGGGAGGTTAGACAAGGACCATGCAGAGTCATTCTCATGGCTGTTGAAATATGATTACATTATAAAGCATACCAATCCAGGTTCTATGTATAGTGTCAAGACAATTAGTCTAGAGGGGATTTATGAAGTTCCTAAGTTTCACAAGTGTTTCTTAGGCTTTGCAGCACAAAAGAAAGGGTTCATAGAAGGTTGTAGGCATTTCATAGGTGTGGTTGGGTGTCACCTTAAAGGCCCTTATGGTAGTGTATTGCTTTCAGCGGTTTCTATGTATGCTAACGGTAGCATTTTCCCATTAGCAATAGGCATTTGTGAGATAGAAAGCAAAGATTCATGGAGATACTTTATGATTGTTGTATGAATTTTCAGAAGGCATTGACCCTATCACTTTCATGAGTGATAGGCAGAAAGGTTTAGTGGATGTTGTATAAGCTTGTTAGCCAAATGTTAGGGTTAGACATTATGCTAGGCATGTATATGCTAACTTTAGGAAAACTTTCCCTGGATTGTAGTTGAGAAAATTGTTTTGGGCTGTTAGTAGGGCTGCCAATACCATTAATTTTGAGCAGGCCATGAATGATGTTAGAGTTGTATATGAGAATGTTCATCGGTGAATTATTGATAATGAGGTCACTAGCTAGTCAAGGCATGCATTTGACCTTGAATCTAAGTTTGATCATGTTACAAATAATATGTGTGGAGTTTTTAATAGCTGGTTGGGAGACAATAGAGAATTACCCATATTAAGCTTGTTAGAACTGTATAGGATGAGGGTTATGAAAATGATGCAAGTTAGGGCAAAATGTGGGGCTGATTGGGTCACAGTTGCACCTCCTGTGATACGTAGGAAAATCAATAGTTTATTTGAGGCTACTAGGAGTGTTGATGTTATCTGGCTAGGAAGTGAGGAGTTTGAAGTCAAGGATAACAATATTCTTCCCAGCAGACATCACATATTAAATATACAATCTTAAACCTGTGATTGTGGAATGTGGTAGCTCTCTGGAGTCCCTTGTGTGCATGGAGTAAGCTGTCTACTTTTTAGAAAAGTCACAAATATGAACAAGTTAATAAACTCTTCATTGATCATCAGCTCCTACCTGAAGACTTATGTCGATCACAGTCACCCCATACCTGACCCACTTACTTGGCCTGACGTTGAGAGTCGCAAGTTGTACCCACCTATCAAGCATAGCAAGGTTGGAAGACCTAAAAAGGCTAGAAAGAAAGATGCTGATGAAGAACCATGGCTGACTAGAGCTGCAACATTGAGGTGTGGGTTTTGTAAAACTCTAAGACATAACAGAAAGAGTTGCCAACAAAATCCCCACAATAGCAAGAAGCAAAAGGTAATTTAAAGCTTTTTTTTTTTTTTTTTAATTCTGATTATTACATTCAACTTTTCTGATTTG